CGGCCAAGGAACGTAATCGGCTCGAACAAGAGGAGGAGGCCAAGCAACAGAAGGAGGAACAGGACCGACTTCGTCAAGAAGAGGCAGACCTGCAGGCGGCAGCCGAACACCGGTCACGCCAGCGGGAACGACTGTTCACGCGGGAGACCGTGATCGGCGATGAGGCCGCACATTGGGTGGAAGTGACATCTGCAGACGGGGCCCCGGAGACTGAGAAAGGGTTGTCAGCCCTTGCGCAGGTCTCCCACGACCTCGTGGCCACCTGCGCTCTGCAGCAGGAGGAAATCCTTCACCTGCAGCAGACCGTGGACCAGATGCTCGCACGGCTGCAGGCATTGGAAAAACAGCCAGCTGCTGTAGCAGCCGCAGGGCCTTCCACCCTTACCACCCGTGTGCAAGTTTTGGAGGATGACGTCAGCAACATCAAACGTGTGCATCAGGACTTCCGGACGTCGCAGCAAGCAACGAACTTGCAGTTGGAGACGCAGGTACAGGCTGCTGCCACCATGACGCCCGCCGCCGCATCCTCCCGGCGCCCACCCAAACTAGATAACATTCCAGTTTTCTGCGATCAGTCCAAGACGGAACCGATCCCGTGGTGGCGCCAGTTTACTCTCAGGCTCGACATGCACCATGTCCCGAACAACGATCGACATCCGTGCTTGTACCATTGATCTGGTGGTGCATGTCAAGCATGGCTGGACAACATCTTGACCAGCCACGGCGTAGCAGTGTCGGAACTGCACACCAAACTCACTTGGTAGGAGTTGACTGACGCCTGGCACAAGCGATTCCAAGTGGAGCCGCCCGACCTGCAAGCGATGGACAAGCTCAACAAGCTCCATCAGAACACGCTACTGAGTCAGGACTGGATTACCGAGTTCCAAAGACTCGCCTCCACACCTGACCTGCTGCTTGCTTTCCGCGCCATTAAGCACTTGTTTATCATGCGCTCGTGTTCAGCTCTGCAAAACGCGCTGACGCAGAATGCAGAGACACTCGACACATCCGACAAGCTTTTCAACACCGCGTCATGGATCATTCTCACGAATATCGAAGCCCGCAACGCCGGCCGATCTTCTGCGACGACGAGCGGCACCCAGCCCAAGCCAAAGGTGGCTTGCATTACTTCTACCGAGGCTGCAACACCAAACGAGGGTGAAGTGTTGGCAGCTGCCCGGGAGGGTGGCCGGCCGCGCAACAATCACGGCCGCGACAAGACGAAGACTCAGTCCACCTCTACACCGAGCACCGGATCAGCCGCCGACGAACCTTGGGCACAATACGGACTCTCGGCGAATTCTTATCGCACGAGACTCAAGTACCGTTACTGCCTTTGGTGCAACARCACCATCCACGATGCTGCACATTGCCCCACCAAGGGGAAACCCCGTCAGGGAAAGTAGGCGCCGCCGAGGGTGACTCGACACCTCCCTCGACGCCATCAGAAGCGGTTGTGGGCACGACCGCCCTTTCTTCCGAGGCATATGCGGATGTCGGGAGTCTTCCACTTTCGTTCGAAGACTTCGCTGCCCGACTCGTTCCTTCACTGGATGCTTCTCAAGAACAAGATACATGTGCGGCTTTCTCACCGTCCGAAGGTTCTTCCGCCAGTTCGTCTTCATCAAGGGATTCGGCAAGCGTGTTCAACGAGGAGGCTTTGGACCCGCTCACGCCCGAGGACTTCGCTTGGATTCCTCTCCCTACGACGGGCAACCTTCCGGGGCTGCAAAGCGCAGCCCTATGCGCCCTCTTACACCAGTATCTTTCCTTCCATGCACCACCAACTTCGCCGACGGTAGACGAAGTCGCGGTGGGGGACATGCTTGGCTACGTTGCCAAGGTGGCCCGCGAGTTTGTCTCGCAACGGWACGAAGAAAACAACGCACCGTTGCTCTACATTCACATTCAGATTTGGCAAGCGGCCTGCAACGCTTTGCTAGATTGCGGCGCAACTCGCAACTTCATCAGCCAGTTATTCATGACTCGGGCTAGCCTTGGCGCACAAGTACGGAGGAAGTCACATCCGACGACGGTCGCTCTTGCCGACGGTAAGACGAAACAACTTTTAGACCGTTACATCTCGCCTGTCCCGGTGTACTTTGCACCGCACGCATGTGAACCCGTCACTTTTGACGTGTTGGACACCGAYTTCGATGTCATTTTGGGGATGCCGAGGCTTTCTAGCACGGACCACACGGTCAATTTCCATCAATGCACGCTCACGATTCGTGATCCAACTAGCGCCGAGGTCCCGTGTACTATTCCTCCTCCTCGCTCTTCCATTAGGTGCCAAGTCGTGAGTGCCAAATCTTTTCGAGACGCATGCCGTTCCGAGCATGTCGAAGAGATTGGCATCGCTTTGCTTCGAACCGTCCCGACGACCGATTCATCGTCTACAGAAGTGTCTTCCGACCCCCGTGTGACCCGGTTGTTAGACGAGTTCTCGGATGTTTTTGAGACACCCTCCGGTATAGTGCCGGACCGGCCAATCTCTCACGAGATCATACTTGAGGCCGGCGCCGTGCCA